GCGATCATCAGACGAAATATAAAAATACTAGGATTTTATTGGACTTAACTAAATGGAGAGAACTTTTGAGCCTAACAAAGTTAGAAGTTGATTTGGGTTCTAGGAGTGAGGGCCAAAAAATTCAAGGTCTACTTAAAATTCAAATTCATAAAATTTGAGCCTAAAATACTAATTGTTATAAGGGAAAACATGGGGCTGGTATATAATATTGGAATTATTAAGAAAAAGTACAACTATTAAAAACATTTATNAAGTGAGGGCCAAAAAATTCAAGGTCTACTTAAAATTCAAATTCATAAAATTTGAGCCTAAAATACTAATTGTTTATAAGGGAAAACATGAGGCTGGTATATAATATTGGAATTATTAAGAAAAAGTACAACTATTAAAAACATTTATAAAAAAATTCACCCACTATAGCTAAATTCCAAAATAACCCTTTTTCAATTTGAAAAGTTTTCTGCCAGTCTAAGGAAACCCGCAAAAATAATGGGAAGAAACAACAACTGCTCACATATCACCATCATTGTCGTCAGAGTTTGGTTTCCTAAATTAAAGGATACTTAACCACTTGAATTTTGAAAGGATTCTATTAGTCTTAAAAAGATTTCCTATTTTCATATTCTCTCTCTATCTGACTCTCATTGTTNCGCAAAAATAATGGGAAGAAACAACAACTGCTCACATATCACCATCATTGTCGTCGGAGTTTGGTTTCCTAAATTAAAGGATACTTAACCACTTGAATTTTGAAAGGATTCTATTAGTCTTAAAAAGATTTCCTATTTTCATATTCTCTCTCTATCTGACTCTCATTGTTACTATATATCTCTCCCTAGTTTCTCTTTTTTTCTCTGTCTCCCTATCTTCTCTCTCTCACTCCTTCCTCTATTATCTCTCACAATGTGGCATCAATGTTACACTGCATACAAACACCATATACAAAGTTTGCACGTGAATGGTATCATAATGTGACTCCAATGTAACACTTCATATACACATCATATAAATATTCAAAAACACAATATAGGTATCACAATGTAACTACATATCATTTGAATTATTTTTTCATGGTGTGGGCATCAAAAGTGTGACTCCTATGTCACAGTGCAAAACAAACATCATATGCAATGTTTTCATAGGGAGGGTATCATACAATGTGACTTAAATATAACATTGCATAAACAAAGAGAGAAAATAAGGGGAGAAAAAGAAAAATAAGAGATAAAATAGGAAGAGTGAGATATTAATAATAAGAGTTAGATATAGAGACAGAGAATAGGAAAACTTTTTAAAACTAGTTAAAGCACATGTGGGTAAACTATTTTGAATATCACATAGAATAGAATATTTTTGTTATGTAGATTATAAGATTTTTATTATTTTAGATCGTTAAAAAAAATAAGTGGTCTTTGACCACATCACCATAAAAAACCACACCCTAAGCACATATTAAGTGATTTTCTAGAATTTAAAAGGGGTATGCACTCTAATATTAGAAAAAATCATTGACTTTAAGACCACATTAGACATTATACTAAAATCAAAGCAGAAGACATGCTAGTGTTAGTTGAAATGGTTTTTTAGTTAAAATCCTGTCAGAAACTTACCCAATTCAAGATTTATTATTATACTACTTTTGGCCCATAAGTAAAATTAGAAATCATATGAGGATCATGAATCAACACATAATGTAATCATTTGCATAATAATTACACACGTATTAATGAAAAAAATTGTAAATTCTACAAAGTAACGTAGTGTAATACATTATTTTATAGTAACACTTAAAATTGTCCTCATCACAAGTGAATTATTAGAACATCCAATTGTTTACAGAATTCAAAACGGAGACTATTCCACGCATTTTTCCCTAGAGATTCATTCCACCAAAGTGACAAGGGCAAGCCATCTGTTGCACCACTTTGTAAATTTTGATATCAACCTCTCCAAAAGATGACTTATTTTTCAAATAAAGCAATAAACTAAACTATGAGGACAAAAATTATTCCCTCTTGGTCTTTTAAAACAAAGGTAAATGGTATAATAAAAGGGTCAAGTGTACCATTATTTCTATCATTTTTATGTCAGCATCAGTAGTAATATTTTTATTCTTTTTGATCCTCGATGATAAAAAATATAGCAAAACTCGAGAACACAATTTTTTCCTACTTTTCTGTATGAAGTAGAGAGTTGATAAAAGTAATAAACAAATTCACAAAATTGGAAAAATCAATTTGCTAAAAAGAAAAGCTTATTTACTTTGCTCGAGTCTTTTTTGCTCTATCACACCACATGCCATTGTGCTTTCAACAAACAATAATTTGTCAAACTTTCAAAACTCTTTAAATACCTGCAGATACATGAAGTTTAAGCACACAAACANAGAAAAGCTTATTTACTTTGCTCGAGTCTTTTTTGCTCTATCACACCACATGCCATCGTGCTTTCAACAAACAATAATTTGTCAAACTTTCAAAACTCTTTAAATACCTGCAGATACATGAAGTTTAAGCACACAAACATTAGTACATTTCTAATATTAAAATTACAAAACTGTTAAAAGTTGAAATTTTCAAATTTCTTTGCCAAGCATCCGAAGAACAACACAAGCTTGTGGGCTTGGCCTTGAACTTTTGTCAACTCCACAAAAAAATGGGTTCTCTTTTGTGGTCATTTCTGATATGAAGGATTGAGTTTTACGAATAAGGTAGATTTTCATGTGAATTGGGTAACAAAATCCCAAAAATTGAAATTTAACCCAAAATTTATTCTAACATAAAAAGAAAATGAAAGCCACAAAAAAACCATTTATGGAACAACACCTCTTCAAGCATAAAGAGAATTGGTTCAAATGTTGTGATCTTTAGCGTCACTTCCTGAAGTAGACTAGGTTAATCCAACATGAAGGAAATTTATATATAGAAATGAGGTGAAGTGCGTGTCCACAGCCAATGAATTTTTGGGTGGCTATCCAATTCTCATAACGATAGAATTTCAACGATAAAAATAGTTTGGTAGTCAAGATGTTGGTGCAATCTTGTTGTGATAATGAAATGCAAAGGTTGTTTGAAAGACGAACTAATGTATTCACTGCATAGAAAGGGAACAACCTAAAACTTTTAAATATTAATTACTGTAATTATGATATGGAAAATGCTAATAAAAACTATTAGTAGAGTTATTAAAGGGTATATAATTTGTGGGGATTCTATTTATTGCTATAAGATTCCTATTTAAGATCACTATAGTTTTTTTTTTTTGGACAGCTATAGGACGAACAACCGCACTATAGGTGGTAGGGTAGGGTAGGGTGGGTGGTACTACCCAGATTGCGGCCAATTTTCCTAACAGCGCGAAAAATCATCACTACCTCGTAAGGGTATTGAGACCATAGCATATTACACGAAAGCGCCGCTTTCTTTGTAGTGTTGTCACACAACTGCCTGCCTAGAAAAACCACTCGTTTTGTAGGGTTGTCACACAAGATAAGCATGCCGGCCCGCTATACCTAAAACTTTTAAATATTAATTACTATGATGATGATATGAAAAATGCTAATCACACAAGATAAGCATGCCGCCCCGCCATACTTAAAACTTTTAAATATTAATTACTGTGATGATGATATGAAAAATGCTAATAAAAACCATTGGTAAAGTTATTAAAGGGTATATAGTTTGGTTTTTAGGCATTTTTAAGAGCAAATTAGGAATTCAAATTTTTTTTTTATGTTAAAATTTTATAGTAATATCGATTATATCTTTTTTTTAATGTTGAAATTATATAGTAATATAGATTTAGATATAGATAGATATATATTAATATTATCTAAATTGGTTGTACACTGAATATTTATTTTTTGAAGTATATATATAAATATAGATTATTTGTGTGGAAAAGAAAGTATATGAAGGGTTATTTGGATATTTAATTAATATTGGATAATTAAATACATAATGATATATAGATAGATATATATTAGTATTATCTAAATTGGGTGTAAACTGAATATTTATTTTTTGAATTATATATATATATATATATAGATATTCATATAGATTATTTGTGTGGAAAAGAAAGTATATGAAGGGTTATTTGAGTATTTAATTGATATTGGATAATTAAATACATAATGATATAGTTGTTTTTAATAATTTTTATAAGGGTATTATGGTCAAATAAAAATTTTCATTTTTATTGATATTTTATAGTAATATAGATATAGATATAGATTAATGGAATTCTTTCAAAATTCAAACGATTTATTATCCTTTAATTTAAAAAACCATTTAGCTAGTAAAATAGAATTAAAAAATAAATAAGGAAATTATCCCAATAAATAGGAAATTGAATCCCACCTATCCAAATTATTTTCTATGAATAAAGGGAAATGACTTTTACGTAAATAAATATTTAAAAAACAGTCAAAGTGTATCTATTCACAAAACATTTATGTATCTATTCACAAAACATTTACGCAGAACTTATATACGAAAAATTTATATTAAAGTGTTTTTTCACAAATAGTATATAGTGTATCTTTTAACAATTTTCGCTTATTATAATTTTTGGGGTCCTCTAAAATTAGGGGCCGGCACCTTAGTAGCCTATGCTTGGGGCAAGTAATTATTTGAATTTTTTTTAAACTACACGTTTCGTAAACGTGCGGTCCTGACATGACATAATTAATACATAATTTATATACGCTATGAATTTGATATAACGCGATTCGTTATATACGAATTAATAATAAATTAGGTATAAATAAAATATTTTGTAATACACAAACTTTCTTTAACTTGCACGGTTGACATGACTAGTGGTATTATTGAAAAATAAATGAATTTTTGAAAATAAAATTGAAGAAATTAGAAATNTTGACATGACTAGTGGTATTATTGAAAAATAAATGAATTTTTGAAAATAAAATTGAAGAAATTAGAAATTGAGAGGATCGAAATCCCTAAAGCAACAGTGATTATTAGCAACACGCCATTCTTCAATTCTTTTAAACAGTCGTCAACATGGCCCTACGCTTCACGTTACAGGGTAGCAGAGTGAGACACAGTGCCCATCTCAATGTGGGTCTTTGGGGACTTCTCAACCAGAACTTATGGAACCCCACTTCATCTTCTTCTTCATCTTCTTGCTACGTTCACCATCATGGGTCTTCAATCCCGAACCGATTGGTTGATGAAATCAAAACCCAAGATGAGAGTAAAGCGTTTTTGGGAGGTACGAGCATTTACAAGGGTGCCCACAAGGATGAGTGGATCATCAGCTTGGCAAAGTTTGCTGTCAATAAACAGAATGAAAATGAGGTTTCAATTTTACCCTTTTCTCTTTCATACGTTTACATATATGTATATATACAAATGTATGCCTGTACATAGATAAGAATACACCCAAGCATGNAAGCGCCGCTTTCTTTGTAGTGTTGTCACACAACTGCCTGCCTAGAAAAACCACTCGTTTTGTAGGGTTGTCACACAAGATAAGCATGCCGGCCCGCTATACCTAAAANTATTACACGAAAGCGCCGCTTTCTTTGTAGTGTTGTCACACAACTGCCTGCCTAGAAAAACCACTCGTTTTGTAGGGTTGTCACACAAGATAAGCATGCCGGCCCGCTATACCTAAAACTTTTAAATATTAATTACTATGATGATGATATGAAAAATGCTAATCACACAAGATAAGCATGCCGCCCCGCCATACTTAAAACTTTTAAATATTAATTACTGTGATGATGATATGAAAAATGCTAATAAAAACCATTGGTAAAGTTATTAAAGGGTATATAGTTTGGTTTTTAGGCATTTTTAAGAGCAAATTAGGAATTCAAATTTTTTTTTTATGTTAAAATTTTATAGTAATATCGATTATATCTTTTTTTTAATGTTGAAATTATATAGTAATATAGATTTAGATATAGATAGATATATATTAATATTATCTAAATTGGTTGTACACTGAATATTTATTTTTTGAAGTATATATATAAATATAGATTATTTGTGTGGAAAAGAAAGTATATGAAGGGTTATTTGGATATTTAATTAATATTGGATAATTAAATACATAATGATATATAGATAGATATATATTAGTATTATCTAAATTGGGTGTAAACTGAATATTTATTTTTTGAATTATATATATATATATATATAGATATTCATATAGATTATTTGTGTGGAAAAGAAAGTATATGAAGGGTTATTTGAGTATTTAATTGATATTGGATAATTAAATACATAATGATATAGTTGTTTTTAATAATTTTTATAAGGGTATTATGGTCAAATAAAAATTTTCATTTTTATTGATATTTTATAGTAATATAGATATAGATATAGATTAATGGAATTCTTTCAAAATTCAAACGATTTATTATCCTTTAATTTAAAAAACCATTTAGCTAGTAAAATAGAATTAAAAAATAAATAAGGAAATTATCCCAATAAATAGGAAATTGAATCCCACCTATCCAAATTATTTTCTATGAATAAAGGGAAATGACTTTTACGTAAATAAATATTTAAAAAACAGTCAAAGTGTATCTATTCACAAAACATTTATGTATCTATTCACAAAACATTTACGCAGAACTTATATACGAAAAATTTATATTAAAGTGTTTTTTCACAAATAGTATATAGTGTATCTTTTAACAATTTTCGCTTGTTATAATTTTTGGGGTCCTCTAAAATTAGGGGCCGGCACCTTAGTAGCCTATGCTTGGGGCAAGTAATTATTTGAATTTTTTTTAAACTACACGTTTCGTAAACGTGCGGTCCTGACATGACATAATTAATACATAATTTATATACGCTATGAATTTGATATAACGCGATTCGTTATATACGAATTAATAATAAATTAGGTATAAATAAAATATTTTGTAATACACAAACTTTCTTTAACTTGCACGGTTGACATGACTAGTGGTATTATTGAAAAATAAATGAATTTTTGAAAATAAAATTGAAGAAATTAGAAATTGAGAGGATCGAAATCCCTAAAGCAACAGTGATTATTAGCAACACGCCATTCTTCAATTCTTTTAAACAGTCGTCAACATGGCCCTACGCTTCACGTTACAGGGTAGCAGAGTGAGACACAGTGCCCATCTCAATGTGGGTCTTTGGGGACTTCTCAACCAGAACTTATGGAACCCCACTTCATCTTCTTCTTCATCTTCTTGCTACGTTCACCATCATGGGTCTTCAATCCCGAACCGATTGGTTGATGAAATCAAAACCCAAGATGAGAGTAAAGCGTTTTTGGGAGGTACGAGCATTTACAAGGGTGCCCACAAGGATGAGTGGATCATCAGCTTGGCAAAGTTTGCTGTCAATAAACAGAATGAAAATGAGGTTTCAATTTTACCCTTTTCTCTTTCATACGTTTACATATATGTATATATACAAATGTATGCCTGTACATAGATAAGAATACACCCAAGCATGTATGTGTGTAGGGCTGTCAATGATTGTGTCAAATTCCTGATGTATTTAAGCTGCGTGGAATCAAATTTGCTCATCTCATACTCGATCCAGGGTTCTTTCTTTATTCTTATGTTGAATAAATTGTGTTTACTGAGTTTGTATTATATTTAGTTGAGTTCGTAATGATCCATTTATCTATTTATAATCATCTTCATTGGGATTTGTGCCTCATATAAGTCATGTTTAGCGGGTTTGTGTTGTGTTTAGTTGAATTCAAATTGATCTATTTATTTGATGGGTACGAGTCTACTGTTTACCCCAGAATCTGCTAAAACTAAACCTTAATCAGTTAATTGAGTGCTGATTTTGTATTGGGTTCGCGAGGCCTCTGTGTTATATATTATCGTGGATAAGCTATGTGAAAATACCAAAGGAAATGATGGGTTTCTGTATTTTGAGTATTAAAGTAGCTGCATACAGGTGATTGAATTCAGGATGGTTAAATTATGAATTAAAGAATCAACCTACTATGGTGTTTTGCACAGATAATGTAGTCTGCATATGTTCTTGTCTAAGTAATGAACAAATTACAGAGTGCTGACAGAAATGAGTGTGTGGAAGGGCATGGATTAGAATATGAGGAATGAGTCGTAGTGCACTAATTGTTGTTAAAGGAGAATGAGAAATATTAGTTGATAAATAGTCAAAAGGATTCCTCCCTTCTTTCTCTAATTCAAAACCGTGCTCGAGACGTTCAGCTCACACTGTTCCTAAGTGATAAAGAAGAGTTGATCATTTGGTTAGTTGGTGGGCTATAGTCATAATTTTTTGGATGATCTTTTGCAATAGAATTAACTCACTAATTTCTTACGTTCAAGGCCATGAAGCAACTAAACAGTATGAATTATTGTATTTGAGGATTAATCCTATTCAAATTTGTCAAAATAGGCTGGTTTTTACACAATGATTTATAGTCTCTTATTCAAGAACTTAAATTTCCCATAATTTATAACAATTATTATTTACTCTCTGTGGGATTTATATATTGTAAAGCAAGACAACGGTCCCTGCTTGAAATTTGTTTCTTTCATTTTCACAACCAAGGTGCTTGCCTAGGTCCGGGGAGAGGTGAGCCACTCTTGAAGTGTCTTAATGAGTTTGAGGTGGGGCGCATGAGGCATGGGCCTTTTTTTTCCTTCACCAATATATTTTGGGTCACTGGTATATTGACTTTGATTGAAATAATTGATATGCATAAGGTCAGAACTTCAAATATTAATATTGAATGCTGACCCCAAAATTTTGCCTGTGTACTTCGCAGATCCAATCAACCCTAACTTCAAGTATAAAAATCTATGGACCATTGGTCTCTTTATTTCCTTTTTAATATATATCATTGTTTGTGGTTCTGTGTTTCTCTCCGCATCATATTTCTCTCCCATTTTTTCTTTCTTTTCGTCTTTGGGAGTATTCCCGAATTTATTGGAATTAACCTTTTTTGTTGAAAAATAAACCACCTTTCCTGGTTGAGCTAGCACCTACTTAAATAAGTTGTATTTTGCAAAATATTATTGATATTTAATATAATGCCTGAAATTTGTACTTTGTCAAGGAATCTCACTGTTAGTTACTCCGTGCTTCTTAAATTAGCTAAAATGAGGTGTATTTGATGCATTTGCGTGGAATTACCATTTCTTTGTGCAAAATGTTATTGATATGTGTTGCTAAGATGAGCTGTATATGCTAAGTTTGCCTAAATTTTTTAAAATTTGTTACATTCAATTGTAAATACGACATAGTTTATAATTTTCATATATTATCTACAACATGCACCTCTCTTTGTTTAAAACTGCACTTCTTCCCATGTCACATGCTTGAGCCCTAGTTGATCTTGCTGCCTTAGTGCACTTGTGAGTTGGGATTCTAGACACTAAAGAAATGCATTTACTCTATCAAGGTCCTACTAATGCATCATTATGGGGAGTGAACTAAATATGGACCGAGTGGGACACACTCACTTTTTTATTAGCTGTGTGAGACACGCTATCTACTATGTGAGATTTCATAGTTTGCATAGTCATAGTTGTTAGGATCTTAAGATACACGATACGTATCTTACCATATGTCGCGATATAGTACCTTAACTATATATATATATATATATATATATATATATTCGAGTCGTATCGTTTTTCATTGTTTCTTACAGTGTGCAATATGTATCTTATGATACGTTTCGATACAATCAAAAAACGATACATGCAATATCAAAACAATATTATTTCGCTAGGCTTTTTCTTACCTAAACAATGAAACAACGTTGTTTCCTGATATGTTGTTTTTTATATTTTGGTTTGACCTCAAACAGACAAAGTTCTCAATCATATTTTTCTCCTAAGAATTTCTTTGTATTTCTCCAGCATCTTATTCTTCTCGCATTCAAGAAAAAAAAATTCTACCTACATTTCGATTTCTATTCTGAAGACGAATGATTGTCTCTCTTTCAATCTTTGTTGGACACACAAATCTCATGAAATGATAAGTGGGTTGAAATGATATTTATATTACTTCAGATACTATATAATTACATATTTTTAACGAGGGTGTGTGTATTTAAATTGAACATATCTTATGATACACTATATATTATAATACACAATATGTTATTTTTGAAAAACAATACGGTTTTTGATACACGTTTTGAGAACCTTGTACATAGTTCTAAAGATTTAAGAAGCTTATATTTAAATTGAACATATCTTACGATACACGGTATATTATTTTTGAAAAAACGATACAGGTTTTGATACACGTTTTGGGAATAGAGTATTAAGCTTCTTAAATCTGTAGTTAACACCTATCAAGTATGTATTCTTCACTTGGGTTGAATTATTTTTATCGGATGTCGTATTGGATATCAGTACTTGTTGGATTGTCGAGGATGCATATTAGAGGCGCATCACTCATATCCTATGATTAATAGCATATTCTTTTATTTTTGGTATGTCTCGAATATGGTTACCCAAAACAAATATCTTTGTATATAGCGGTGTATACACATAACAGTACATCTAATTTCTAAGTATCAACTTTATCCTTCCCTCTTGAGTTCACAATGATGATGCACATAAGGAAAAATGCATATGTCTTTTGGGAGGCACATGGGTGTTTCTTAAGCATTCTTAGGTACCATATATTTTAAAGGGACATAAAATGGGTTCATTACACTCTATCTCTTGGCAACAACTACTTTTAAGCAAATCAACTAGTTAAATATTGATTCTGGTTCCTTTCATTCGATTTTTTTGTAGGTATACTAGACTATATATGATTCCTTGAAAGTTAATATTTTTTATTTTTCGAATTGTTATCGAAAAGAACTAAAAACTATAATTTTCAAATTGTTAGATAATAGCAAAAATATAAAATATATATTCAGATTGTATCCCTATCTAATGTTGTTAGGTTTTGTCATATCATTGTGTGTGTATCGTATGTTCTATATCCCTATCTGTGCTTCCTAGGATAATGATGATAAAGACCTCATACGAATCCTATACGTACTGATGAGACCATCATCTTATCCTTTTTAGAGGAAAATGGCCATCATCATCCTTTTTTTTATCTTTTATCTTATGAGATTCGAAATTAGAACATACATAGATTCTAGAACCTTTTTTTTAATTTCTCATGAAGGTGGGAAAATGGGTGGCCAGGATTGGGCTTCATTTCCCACCCCTTTCTGGGTCTTGATGTCTTTCTACGGGGTCATGGTTCCACTTACTATTTCTATTTTCTTTTGATTACCAGGTTGGGTGGTTAGAGTTAATGGACCAATACAATTTATTGCTTGTCACCACTGAATACTTATTGTGTAAAATTTGTTCACTGAGGTAGATGAACAAAAAATTACTTCCCTATCAATGTTGGGGGATAGGTACTATATTGTACCAGAACTTTGGGCTCTTCATTTTAGCCATTTGTTTTCAATGAAACACTTGAGTGTGGAGAATCTTCAAAAGATGTGTCACAAAAAGAGGGGTGGGGGGTCATGTAATCAGGTTGTAAAAGCTTGAGTATGCTTTTTGATTTATCCATAGATTGGCTGATAACTGGGATTCATCTAATTAGTGGACATCACTTCTTTTTTAAGGTGTCCCTAGTAACTTTTAAAGTCTCAACCTGACTAAGATGAGGTTCCTGGCTTGGCAAAATATGGTCTGTTACTTTCAGATTAACCTTGAAATCAATGGAACAAGAAGATGATTTCATGTGATTGTGAGATATGTGACAGAATGCCCTTGGTCCATTACTATGCAGAGGAATGAAAATATTTAGATCACGAATTGAGTGACTTATTGTTTCCTATTTGATAGTTATCTGTAAACTATCAAGGGAAAGTAATACTTTAGTGTTACTTACCCAAAAAAAAAAATAGTTTAATGTTGCCATCTTAGTATGATATGAGTTTGAACCTACTATCCCATTAATCCATGTGATATTGTTTACCAGCCATCTAAGAAAGTATTGATGCCATCCAAAGTTTGCAATTAGTTTTGCGATAGCCAGATTCATCAAATTAATATAATGTAGGCATACCAAATTGAGAAGCTATATGTGGTGGATGTAGGTTCTTTCGTTTGAATCTGACATGTATTGATGCTTATGGCTGTTAAAGCATCTCAGGTGCAGTTGATTATGGAGGAACTGGGCGTTTATACTTTATACAACTGAANTTGAATCTGACATGTATTGATGCTTATGGCTGTTAAAGCATCTCAGGTGCAGTTGACTATGGAGGAACTGGGCGTTTATACTTTATACAACTGAAATAAATGAAACAAATGACATGGGTAGCTTATTTGGATCAGTGTAGCAAAACGAGTGGTTAGAACAGTATTTGCAGGAAGGCGATTCTGAATTATTTGATGTTAGTGGGAAAAAGAAGAAACACTTTTGACATGGAAGGAGACTTGCTCTCTAGTTTATCCTTACAAAAAATGCAACAGAGGGGATGATTGATTCTGTCCTTATGGTATTCATTTTGTTATACGATCCATAATTGAAAAGTTCTGCAATGTCTGTTGGTTAAAGATAAATGTTAATATAATCATTTGAAAGTGATTATTCTTACACATTGTAGTAATAAGATTGTTGCAAGGAAGATTTTGAGCCCCAACGACAAACGAAGCTTTTTAAAGTTGAGTGGGATCTGAGATTAGTACCATTAAACTTGATCTGAGATTAGTACACATTTGAAAGTGATTATTCTTACACATTGTAGTAATGAAGCTTTTTAAAGTTGAGTGGGATCTGAGATTAGTACCATTCAACTTGATTTGAGATTAGTACACATTTGAAAGTGATTATTCTTACACATTGTAGTAATGAAGCTTTTTAAAGTTGAGTGGGATCTGAGATTAGTACCATTCAACTTGAATGATATTTCGGTTGAGAATATTAGTACTTATTTTAGTTTGATCAACAACTGTTAAAAATTGAACCCCTAACCACAGACTCTTAGATGCCAATGTCAGCATTATTATCTCCATGCTGCTACGTTTGTTAGAAAGGTCCATCTTTTAAAAAACTAGCAAAACCATAAATTATTGCAAAACAAAGTGTTATTGCATGAATTCAACACCCCCAAAAAAAAATGATAAATAACTAAAAGAGAGAAGGAAAAAAAAAACACTGCTCCACTCCCCTGTGCATCGTTAAAAGACAACTCTATGCTTAATCCATTTAGACAAACATGGATATTCACCCCCTTCTTATAGCTTTTAAAAGTAGAATGTTGACTATGACCTCATTATTTCAAATGACCTCACCATATTTGTCAATTTTTACAAATCAGTCTAAGGGACTAGTATCTTCCTTTTTACTTTCCTTTTTCAATGGTGATGATCACTTTATGGTGTTTTGGGCAGTATTCTAATTAATAGTATGTTTGGTAGGAAGGATGAAAAGTAAGAAAAGTAGGAGGAATAGATCTTCCTTTCTCAAAGGAAAGAAAGATATTTTTCCTCCTTTTTGTTTGGTATGAGGGATGGAAAGTAAGAGAGATTTATTTTCTATCATTTGGTATTGAATGAAAAATGAAAGGAAAGGAAAAATATGTATGTGAAAATTACTTCTCTACCCTTACTTTCCTTATAATATATGAGCAATACTATTGTGACCTAATTCACTAAAACTTTTGGATTGAATGTGGGCTCCATCAAATTTTAGAACTTATTATTGATTCCAATGAAACTATATCATTAGGTCAATAAATTAGATCAAATTTTTAAGTCCCCAATAATATATTGAGCACCAAATGTTTTTGCAATGAATAGTATGACTCATTCAAGTATTTTTTTTTTCGGTTCAAACTCATTTCAGTAGGTTGGTTAATATGAACAAGCAAAATTGGTTATTATATTAGTTGGAATACACCGGATCAATAGTAATAAGTGGAAGTGGGTACTGAAGCAATGTTTTAAAAGTGCATCAATGGCAAAAACGTCAGATTAGACAAACTATTAGTTGGTGTGCAACTTTTCTCCAACTTTCCGTCCACTTTTGGGGGGAAAGAAATTGGTGGGCAGGAAGGATAGCATTTCACTCCAATTTTCCTCTCCCTCCTCTTTTCCTTTCAAACCAAACAGTGAAAAATCTTTTCTTCCATCCACTTTTCCTTCCCCTATTTTTCATCCACCCTATTTTCTATCAAACCAAACAGAGGGTAAGAAATTCTCCTCTTTTTCAATTTTTTTTCTTTCATATTGCTTATTTTATCTTGGGCATATTTCTTGTTTTTTATTTTCATTCATTATAATTCACATAATTATTGTCCTTACTTTTAACTTTTTGTTTTTATGCAGAAGGATCAACTTCGATTCGCGAGGGTTGTAGGGGCAAGCCACACAGGCAGTTCTAACTTATTGTACCATATCACACTGGAGGCAACCGATGCTCATATGCAAAAGATTTACCATGCAGTGGTTTGGTTGCAACTGTGGAGGAACTTAATGGATTTGCTAGTGTGGAGGCGAGTTAATGATGCCTTATCTGCTGTTGGTGTTAAGCGCGGTAATTAGCTTGTGGTCTTTATTTTTTGACTCTTAAAATATGTCATGCAAACATTATGTGTTGCCATGTCCAGCCATTACCCTTCATGTATGATTTTGCTTTGTAAGTTGACTTCTACCGATACAAACACTACTGCCAATTGGATTTGGACTCACCTTGAGTAGTTGCGATATCATCACCTTTTGATTATAATTCTGAGATGAAAATATGATTTTATATTAGCTATTACAGGTCGTATTGAGAACTTTTTTTGCTTTTCTTTACTCTAGTTTCATATTTTTCAAAATGTTGTTTTAAAGTTTCTTTGAAATTGAATGCAGTATTTTGATTTTGATTTTGAATTTTTTTTTTTTGGGGGGGGAGAGGGGG